TACCATTTGGTTTAATTCCAACTGTTCCACTTTTCACATAGGCTGGACGGAGAAATCATTCGAACTTTCCATTTCGTGACAGTTTATAGGCCTTCCTTTTGGTCATAATTCAATCCTTAAGGCACTCTCTAGGTCTTCGCTCAAGCTTATTTCATGGCCAAGTTAACGCCTTTACCAGTACCAATCAGTGATGTTTTAAAGGTACTTTTTTTTACAAAATTAAAGAAAATAGCGTAAAATTGAAATTACAAAGCTAAATACGAGTGTTTCGGCCCACGAATTCATATACATTCTTGCTGAGCACCACAACTGTACCTCGTCAGTATGACTGTTCTAATCTCAACTATGGTCTCAAGACTGAAATACAGGCCGTGGTCTTGTTTGAAATCAAAACAGCTAGCTCACTACTTTACCAGTTGATGAATTAAACTGAATCTTGGAGGTATGGAGGAATCATTTCCTGGAAATGTGAGGCATTTGCCCTGGTAAAAAAAATGATGGTACTGTTGGGAGCAAATGATCTTGCTCTCCCTTTTCGAGAACGTTCCAGCGCACAACCCGGATCTGGAACGTAGATCGACTGGAGAAGTTTAGGGAGTGTGCTGACGATCGACAGAACTGTGCGGCCGACAGCGAGGATCGACGCCCCCACCAGCAGCAGCTTCGGCAGCGTCTCGAGGAACGTGGAGTGTGAAGGCCAGACGGACCGTGCTGACCGTGGTACCCCGGTCAACACCAACCGAAGAATCATAGACTCTGAGCTTCGTAATTACCAGTTTTGATATTTTCTGTTGTACTAATAAAAATCGAACTTGAGGTGTGTCGCAACGGACACAACAGATACCTTGTCATCCTCGGCGACATACGACAGCTGTGGCCAGGAGAGTGCATGATAGAAATAGTACTTCATCTGATAGTTCTCCGGCAGACACAGCAAGTTGCAGTGCTGCGTGTTCAGCAAATCTTCTGCCTTTGCTACCCGTAGATTCATTGCACTGCGGCGAAATGCAGTCTGAAACGATCAAAATGAAAAACAGAGCGAACCAAGAATACCAAGACCACCTGGACCATCAGAGTAGGACTCCCTTGTCATTACCCTAAAATTTCAGCTTCCTAGACTCCGTGTTCCCGAGATAATAATTTCCCTGTTAAAAATTTTCACGGGACCGTACTTGTCATCCGTGGACAGGGGAAAGTTGAATTTAAATTTTCTGCGTAGCACATGGGCTGGGGACATGCTCACAAAATTTCAGCCTTCTACTTTCGGTAGTTCCCGAGATACTAATTTTACCCGAAAAATCTTTACGGGGCAGTACGCGTTACCCGCGAGTACGGGAAGGCTGAATTTCAATTTGCCGCGTCATCCGTTGGCGAGGAACACTATACTAAAATTTCAGCCTCCCAGCTTTTGTGGTTCCCGAGCTGAAAGTGCGGGGCAAAATGTGGGATACACACACACAGACACAGACAAACACACACAGACCCCACGACAATATGCGTTCTGTACTGCATTTACACAGCAAAAAACGCATAAAAATCGATGACCAGGAAGGAATATTTCGGATCATCATCAATTCGTACACATCCCTATTCAGCACTACATGGACAACGGAAACGCGAGTGGCAATAGGTCAATACCGAAACACGTCCGCACAGAATAAGCAGCAACAAGCTACAACCCAACACCCCTCAACTTCATTAGTGCTGCTACCCGAACGACCAACCCGTCCACCACTCGTTCCAGGATGAGAGATATCGGCAATTACTAAAACTCGGCTCGGCTCTATCACCATTTTGAGATGCTCTCGTTTCTCTGCTGACGCTATTTCGCGCGTCATCTGGCATTCTGCCAGAAGACACTGGGCAGTGCTATTTGACAGTCGGTGGTTGAACAACGTGTTTGGGGCTGGGGGAGGAAATTGGGGCACTGGGATGGGATACAGTTAGGTGTCCAGATGCCGCTCTGGAGACAGTGGTTGGGGACAGGGCAGAGAAAAAGGATACTAGTTGGAATTTCGAGGCAAGAAATGGAAATAGAGGATGGTGGGTGGTAGCTTCTCTGGTGCCGCTCTGGGGGCAGGATAGAGGAGAGGAACAAGTGTAACAATCAGGATTTTGAGAAAAGAACAGGGCACAGCAGTGAAGAGAAAAAAAATAACACAGCACCACAAAGAAAAACACATTAAAGCAAATCTAGACCTGTAAATAAAAGCGAAATCAAAGGATCAGAACTTGTGAACAAAAACAAAAT